CGTTCCTTATTTATCGTTCCTTAGGTCAGGCCGATGACTGTACCCTCGAATGATCTGAGGGTTGGGGGTCTTTGGCTGGCGGAGGGCCTCATGTTCTTGAAGGATCTCCTTCTGGCAAGATCTTCTGGCCTGGGTCCGACTGTACAGTGGGGGCGCGTGCCAAGAAACCAGTTGGATTTGGCCAGGGTGCCCTGGGTTTCTTGGACTTCGATGGGTCCCCAATAAGATGTGGATGATTTTCGATCGACATATTTGGTTTTCATGGAACAGATCGCAGCTTTCAGGGTTGGGTTTCTTGCGGAGGTTCCTTGTGGCCGAGCCCCCACTGTAACCCCTCTCCCCCTTCCTATTCCCCCATTCGGTCCGACCCGAGTGTCCCAAGTTGGCTTCCTGCCCCTCCTTCGCGGCATGTCCTGTTTCCTCTTGTGCCTCAATTCGCTCCCAGTGTTATGCTTTTCCGACCTACTCTAGCCTGGACCACCAACACGATTTCGAGCACCAGGAAAGTACCCAAATTGGAGCATTTCACACCTTTCGGGCACTGGGAGGCTGTACTTGTTCGGCATTTCGCCAGCGTGTCGGCCATACATTCGACAGTTTTCAGGATGCCCGATTTCTGGTGTGTGGTCCTTCATTGCGATGGGAACGTCATACTCCCAGTGCACCCCACCGCTTGCTGACCGGCGTCTGACCGTCCCCAACCACCCTGGCGCCCGCGGACGTACAAAGAGGGTCCCGAGGCGGGCTGCAGCTCTGGCCCCGACCTCGTTCTCCCCTCTGCGCCCGCAGCGCGTGCGCGCTCACAAGCGCCAGAGCGCGCCCGGGAGGTGCCAGAGGGTCCCTCTTGGTTTGGGAGCGTCCACGAGGGGGTGATACGGAGCATTCTATTTTTTGCTCAAACAAAGAAACCCACAGTCATACAACAACACGTGAGGCTCCATACCGTTTTTTTACGGCAGCGCGTCCTGTGATAACTGAACGTCATAAAACGCGTGTGTGTGTGGCTCCATATCGTACCTTATGGCAGCCAGTCTTCGTAAACAGAAACATGTGATGCTCCACATCGACTCGATGGGGGACAGCACAACAGGGATGACATCTCCGCAGACCTCGTGGCCCCTTGTCTTCTTCTTCTTCTTCTTCTTCTCCTTCTTGTCTTCTTCTTCTTCTTCTTCTTCTTCCAGTGCGTCCCCTGGCCCCCCTCGTCCGACCACGTGCCTCGGGCCATGATTGGCGATCCCCCCCCCTCTTGGACGCCCCCCTTTCCTGGACTCCCCCGATGCGTGCCCTGGGCCTGGGCTTTGCACCTCCCTCCACAGGAGGAACATTCAAACAGAGTCAAAACACTGCCTGTCACCACCCACCAAACGACCCCAACCCAACCCGAAGGCCGCAATTTTCCCTCCATTTCCAGTGGGGTGGGGGGGGGGTCGGGGAACATTGAGAAAACACATGTGGAACCCGTACCCCCCCCAACCCGAAATTCGGGTCAAATTCGGGTCTTCGGGTTGGGTTGGGGTGGTCTGGTAGGTATAGTCAGCCTGGGGACGATCTTTCGACTCCTTTTGAGAAGTCATCGGCATGTTGGCTCTGCTCCGGTTTCCTTTGAAAGTCCGCCCGCGGGAGGACGCGCCCGACCGACGCCCGGGCCCCCAGGGCGGTCCGAGAGCGGCAGGTTTTTTTTTCCCGGGCGAGGGCCCCGCGAGGCCCCCGGCGAGGCCCCGCCGCGAGCGCAGCGCAGCGTGACGTCGGACGTCCTGGGGCCGACATCCTCCTCCTCCTCCTCCTCCTCCTCCTCCTCCTCCTCCTCCTCCTCCTCTCTCCTCCTCCTCCTCCTCCTCCTCCCTCCTCCTCCTCCTCCTCCTCCTCCTCCTCCTCCTCCTCCTCCTCCTCCTCCTCCTCCTCCTCCTCCTCCTCCTCCTCCTCCTTCGGCGGGAACGCCGCCGCCGCCGCGGTCGAGCCGAGGCAGATCAGATCGGGGTCGGTTCGGGGAGGGTGCCCTGCTGCTCTTCGTGCGTGCTGGAGCCTCTCGTGCATCCTGGGGACAGGGCACCTCGGAGCAGCTTCCTGTCGTGGTTTGGGGCGTTTTTGGCGAGCAGGTAGCCCCATGTTCTCGAAGGATGCTCTTCTGTCCTGGGCCCGACCGTACCGCTGCGCGTCCCGGAGAGGTCTCGTCGCCACGGCCAGACTCTCGCCGAAGTTCTGGTCGGAACGCGCACGGGAGGTGTCCAGGGAGCAGCGGCATGTGTGCCTTGTCGTTTCCCCAAGACCCCCCAGGGGAGCTTCGACGTGAGGCCGAGGAGGGAGGAGGAATAGGCCCTCCCCCCCCACTTTGCCGAGTTTTGGGGGGCAACAGGTGGGGGGTTGTCGCAACGTGGCGAGGTGTGTCGTGTGTCTGCTGACCAGGATGACGACGACGACGACGACGACGACGACGACGACGACGACGACGACGACGACGACGACGACGACGACGACGACGACGACGACGACGACGACGATGATGATGATGATGATGATGATGATGCTGATGATGATGACGATGATGACGATGATGATGATGATGTTGGTGATGATGATGACGATGATGATGATGATGATGACGATGACAATGATGATGATGATGGTGGTGGTGATGATGATGGTGATGATGATGATGATGAGGATGACGACGACGATTATGATGAAGATGATCATGAGGATGAGGATGGTGAGGATGACAATGATGAGGGTGATGAGGGTGATGAGGATGAGGATGAGGAGGAAGAGGAAGAGGAACAATACTATTACTAGTAATACGAATATGGGAAATGAAGAAGACTGAGACGACAATTAATGATACTAATTACCATTAAAAGGAAGCGTAAGACGAATTCCGATAAGAAGCCGAATCTTAATCATGATATTACGAAGGCGAACCATACTGGTATTCATAAGAACAACTATAGCAAGACTACTGATAATGCTAGTGATGCTGCTAATACTAAAGCGACTGCTAGGAATGCTACCAATGATACGAATCTATTCGAGGCGACTACCCCATGTGTGTATCTCATTAGTAATGGCATGCTTCGGTAGAAGACATTCTCCTTTTCAGTATCTGAGTGTCATCGAATCCATGTGGAAGACGAAGCCGAGAGAGAGGAGCAGAACTAGGAGGAGAAGGTGGAGGAAGAGGGAGGAATAGGAGGAGGAGGAGGACGGATGTGGAAAGAGAAAGAGGGCTCTCGCCGCCGAACGGGCAACTCGGGTGGCCGAGGCCAGAGGATCGAGATTCGAGGCTCCTGACTCGAGCTTCGCTGCTCTAGGTTTTCCAATGTTTCTAAATTGTTCGAGTTTCCTTGGCATACATTGTTCGAGTTTCCTTGGCATTCTTGTCTTCACGGATGGATTATCCTGACAGGTGTTCAGAGGACAAAAAATGAGAACGAGGAGGAGGACAGGGAGGAGGAAAGAAGGAAGAAACGCGTAGTTAAAGTCGTCGTAGTCGTCGGCGTTTCTCTTCGCCATCCCTCCTCAGTTACGAGTTCCCCGTCACCACCTCCTGCTCCAGCTCCACCTCCTCCACCTCCTCTCGCAATCTGAGCCCCGCGGGATGCTCGAGCCAGCGCTCCGCCTGAGAACTCCTTCAGCTTGCTGTGGGCGCAGACGAGTCTGCCCACCGAAGCAGGCAAACCGGTCAAAACGCAAACGAAGCTGGCCACGAATTTAGCAATCCGCGTGATATTGCCTCGCAATATGGGGTCCTCGGGGCGCTGAAACCAGCGCCTCGCTTGAGACATCCTGTTGCCTGTTCCCTGTTTTCCTCAGAGGTCGAACTGATCGACAAGATCCGCCAGGGCTTGTCGCCGATCGAGACCGTCCGCACTTGGCATCGGGCCGATAAGACAGGCGATCATTCACACGGCCGAAGAACACTTGCCGTCAGCACATGGCATCGGAGCGGCAGCCGAGGCCGGCTTGCGCAACGGCAGTGGAAAAAACCGATCGGGGCACGATCGTCCGCACTTGGCATCGGGCCGAAGAGAACTAAAGCGGCTACTCCTCGTTCTCTGGCAGCACCATCCCGTACTCCTCGGCGAGCTCAACTGCTCTCTCCACCGTCAGTTTCTCGTTGTGTTGGAAGCGTTTGAGAGCTTCTTGCGCTGCCTTCGGTGGACTTCTTTCCAGCAGCCAGCGAGGCGGCGGCCGCACCAGCAACATGTCTGCCATTCGGGTGGCGCGGGAGAACATGACATAAAAAGGTTCAACCACCATGCGTCGTCATCAGTGCCGCGCTGTCCCTGAGGCTCCTGGCGCGCGCAGTCGATGGTCACAGCGCCGCGTATCGTCTGCCCCTGCGAGGCCGTCGTCGTCAGGTAGTGGGCGTGCGACAGCATGAAGTTGTAACGCTTCACATTGTGCGCCGTGGACGACGCCTCCCAGGTGAAGGTGGTCTCCATCAGAGGCATGCGGGATAAACCGTGAGCGATCTTCTCGTCGTTGTCCAAGTAGTCCATGATGTCGCCCCACGTGGGGGCCTGCTTGAAGACGTCGACCTCCAGCCAATTGCCAGCTGGAACACGTTTCGGCCTGACGATCTCGCCCGGGCGGGTGCTGTCGTAATCCCTCTGGTCGTCGGGGTGGAAAACGAAGTCGACGATCGTGGCCCGCTGCTCCTGGACGAGGCCGTATGTTCCGTTGAACTTGCCGGTGAAGCGGACTTCGTATTCCCACGTGGACGGGGGACACGCCGTGAACCCGACCCGTGCAGTATATGTTGGCCACGTTCAGCATCCTGGAGTGCGTCGCCTTGTCCTTCGGGAGGATGGTCCCGCAGTCGTCGGTTGCCAGCAGAAAAACAAGAACCACCTCGAGCACGCTGGCGTCGCGGCGCGCCCACTTGGTAGGGAGGGAAAACTGAGGGAGGGAGCGAGGAAGGAAGGAGGAAGGAGGGAGGAGGGAAGAGGGAGGAGGGGGGGCGGATGGAGGAGAGGAGGATGAGGAGGACCTGCGCCTCCTCCTCTCCCCCCTCCTTCGCCCCCTCCTCCGATCTCCTCCTCCTCCTCCTCCTCTTCCTCCTCCTCCGTTCCTCCTCAGCCTACTCCGCTCGTCCTCCTCCGATCTCCGACGGCCTCCGACGGAGGTGTCCGCAAGTATCCGGGCGCGAAACGATGTGATGGGTGGAAGAGACGCATGCGACCACCGCCACTGGGGCCTTAGGTGGAACTCCCCATGAAGCGTTGTGCTGGGTGGGGGAGACGGATGCGGACGCCGCCACCGCCACTGGGGCCTTAGGTGGGCACCCAAACAGGCAAACCGCCTGAGACATCCCCACCATCTATGCGCGAATCCTGGGGTGTCCTGACCCCTGCCGCCCCCCCATGGGAGTGCTGAAACCAACGCCTCGCCTGAGACATCCCCAGGAACTGTTCCGAAAACAAGAAATGTTGGGCACCGAAACAGGCGAATCGCCTGAGACGTCCTTGCAATCTGGGCGCGAATCCTGGAGTGTCCCCACCCCTGGCGCACCCCCTTTTGGGAGTGCTGGAACCAGCGCCTCACCCGAGACATCCTCAGAAACTGTTCCGAAAACAAGAGGTGTTGGGCACCGAAACAGGCAAACCCCTTGGGACTGCTGAAACAAGCGCCTCGCCTAATACATCCCCAGAAACTGTTCCGAAAGCAAGAGGTGTTGGGCACCGACACAGGCAAATCGCCTGAAGGGTCCTTACAAGCTGGGCGCGAATCCTGGAGTGTCCTGACCCCTGGCGCCCCCCCTTTCGGGAGTGCTGAAACCAGCGCCTTGCCCGAGGCATCCTCACAACGTGTGTCTGAGTGAGCGCGGAAGTGATGTGACTGACTCTGAGTGAGGACGAGCGAATCAGAGTATGAGTGAGCTTTAGCGTGAGTGAGTCTGAGTGTGAGTGAATCTGGGTGTGAAGCATCTTCACGACGTGCGTTTGAGTCTGAGCGCGGACGTGGTGTGGCTGAGTCTGAGTGAGGAAGAGCGAGACAGAGTATGAGTGAGTCTTAGTGTGAGTGAGTCTGCGTAATGAGTGGTCCCGAGCGACTGCATCTGAGTATAAGTGCACCTGAATACGAGTGAGTCTACATGTGAGTGAGTCGGGGCATGACGGCCTGAGGGTGGGAAGTGTGTTCTCGTTCTCCGCGCGGTCAAAGTAATAACAATAACCCCATCCTGAGGACATGGGGAATAACAGCACTAATCCGACTAATAGTAATCGTAGTAAAACTAATACTAAAAGTACTAATACTATTCAAACGTAAGACTACTACTAGCAGTGATAGCAACATTATTAGCAATATTAATACTGATCTTACTAAAGGTAAGACTCTTACGAGTAATCGTACGAAAAAAAAAGAAGAATACCAACACTGCGACCAATACTAATAAGAGGGGGAGGAGGAGAAGTATGAAGAGGAGGAGGAGGAGGAGGAGGAGGAGGAGGAGGAGGAGGGAGGAGGAGGAAATAGGGGGGGAGGTTGGGAGGAGGAGGAGGCGGAGGAGGAGGAGGAGGACGAGGATGCGGAGGAGGACGAGACGGAGGAGGAGAAGAGGAGGAGGAGAAGGAGGAGAAGGAGGAGGAGGAGGAGGTGGAGGGGGAGGATGCGGAAGGAGGAGGCGGAGGAGGGAGGACGAGGATGCGGAGGAGGACGAGGCGGAGGAGGGGAAGAGAGGAGGAGGAGGAGGAGGAGGCGGAGGAGGAGGAGGAGGAGGAGGAGGAGGGCTGAGATTTTTGACTGTTAGGGTGCCCTCACGACCTCCCGAGGCCTCCTGGGGGGTGTCCTGGGCTGTGTGCGGTACCCACTTTGCGGCACGGCGAGGGGGGGGGGGGCGGCCTTCTGAGAGGGCGGGTGGGGCTCCTCATAGACGGGGTCGTGGGCTTGCAGGGGGACCTTCGAGGAGGGCTCTCGATGGCCTCTGCGCCCCCGGGGCATTCTCAGAAGAGGCCGCACCCCTCGCCTTCTCGTGTGCGCTGCTGGCCCACATGTGGCCGTCGTCACGCCTCTGTGTGGCACGGGCGCCGCTTCCGAGCCAGACCGCCCCCGCCTTCGTCAGACCGCTGCCGTCTCGTCGCCCCTCCTCCTCCTCCTCCTCCTCCTGCTCCTCCTCCTCCTCCTCCTCCTCATTCCCCTCCCAGACAGCAGGACTTCCCTCGGGCTCACGCCGTCGGGACGCCGTCGCCACGGGGGCCTCCAGAAGCCTCGCGAGCCCCCCTCTGGGGGCAGGCTCTTCGCCGCGGGCCGCTTCCCCCCCTCTCAGGACCAGCGGCTCCGGCGACCGCGGCAGACCCCGCGGCGGAGGCCCAGGGCCTGGCCGAGGCCGAGCGTGTGGCGGAGGCCGAGCGCCTGGCGGAGGCCGAGCGCCTGGCCGAGGCGAGGCGCGTGGCGGAGGCCGAGCGCCTGGCCGAAGCCGAGCGTGTGGCGGTTGCCGCGAGCTTGGCGGAGGCCGAGCGCGTTGCCGTGGCGGAGGCGGCGGAGGCCGCGCGCGTGGCG